GGTGCAGCAGCACTTGGGAGGCCAAAACCACACAAACTCCTCTTCCAAAACATGGGACACAGCTAAGGTAACTGGGTCACTTGTCATCTGAATCCATTTCTTACAACCCTGTCCCTTAGAGGCCAGTTGTCTTTTGACCCATGTTGTTGCTGATATGAGTCACAGGCCCACCTAGTCTTGTGAAGGAAATGATAATAATTTCTTCCTCTTAGCCCACAGATGGTGTGTGTGTGTGTGTGTGTGTACCTAGCTGCAAGGGAGGCTGGGAAGTACAATCTTCAGTGTGTGCACCTAGCTGCAAGGGAGGCTGGGAAGTACAATCTTCAGTGTGTGCACCTAGCTGCAAGGGAGGCTGGGAAGTACAATCTTCAGTGGCACTTTTGTGTCCCTGTGCATGTAGGGGTAGGGATGCATGACCCCTCCTCTGCCCTGTCTGACCACCCCTGTCCCCTCCTCAGTTGCAATCTACCTTGGGATAAAGCGGAAACCGCCCCCCGGCTGCTCCGATTCCCCTGGAGTGTGAAGCTGACCAGCTCTCGTCCTCCTGAGGCCCTGATGGCTGCCCTGAGACAAGCCACCGCAGCCGCTCGCTGCCGGTGCCGTCAGCCGCAGCCGTTCCTGCTGGCCTGCCTGCACGGGGGTGCGGGCGGGCCCGAGCCCCTGTCCCATTTCGAAGTAGAGGTGTGCCAGCTGCCCCGGCCCGGTCTCAGGGGCGTCCTCTTCCGCCGAGTGGCGGGCACCGCCCTGGCCTTCCGCACCCTCGTCACCCGCATCTCCAATGACCTCGAACTCTGAGCCACCACCACCACCGCCACCACAGCCGCCATCACAGCCTGGGTCCCTTCCTCTATCTCTGGGACCTTTCACTTCCCCAAGAGGGGAAGGGGACAGAAGAGGGGGAGCCCCGTTTCTTCACCTCAGTTTCCCTGGATTAGATTGGTGGACAGAGACAGTCCTCTTGGCTATCGTGGGGACACATGACAATGATAAAATACGGCTCGGCAGGGGGAGCTGGTACCCTCCTGGGGCCTCTAGTGCCCCCCACACCTTGCTCTGCTGCAGGGAGCCTGAGGAGACTTTGGGGACAGGAGTGAAAAGGGAAACTGAGGAAATTCTCCCATTCAGGGAGACCTGCCAGGCATAATGACTGGAGACAGAACTTGGGGGTGCAGGGAGTGGGGGGGTCACAGGCAGAACTTTCCCCTCCCTCCCCTTATGCTCGAACCCCCTTCCTGCCCCAGGCTGGCGCGGGGCACTTTGTACAAATCCCTGTATATACTCCTGTCCCTCTGCAGAGGTCTCTCGGGGAGCTGCCGCTGTCACTCCGGTTTTTAAGTTATTGCCCCCCCCTTCTGTCAGCTCCTCATCTGCAGCCTGTTACCCAATAAATAATAGGAGAGTCCCTCTGGCCCCCGAACCCCTCCCCGGCCGACCTGGGGTTTTGCTTCCCGGCCCTTGGCCTGCAGGTGAGCCAGGGAGCTGGGGACTTGACCCCAACCTGTGGTTCTGCTTGCTGAGCCTTGGTTATCTCATCTGCAGAATGGGAACGGTGGGGTTGGAGGGTCAAGGGTGACCGAGGAAGAGGGCAGGGCAGAACTCTGTCAGACCCTCCTCTCGGCCACCTGCCCGCCTCCGCTGTATTACACTGGACTCAGCCTCTTCCTACTCAGTAACACATGTATTCAATAAACACTCGATGACTGGTGCCCACTCCTCGCCAGGCCCAGTTCTGGACACGAGTACAGAGCCCGTCTGTGGGGGGGGTGGGGCTGGTGTAACCGGAACCCAGACGGCCCAGGGGAAAGGGTTCGCGAAGGCACTCCATGGGTTGTAGCTGTGGCTCGGTTGGTGCCGTGCTTGCCTGGTGGGGTGCCAGATTCCATCCTTATTCTGCAAAAGTCAGCCCTGTTGACAGGGCTGGCCCACGCCTTTCATCCCAGCTCTCCGGAAGCAGAGACAGGTGGATCTCTGTGAGTTTGAGGCCAGCCTGGGCTACAGAGTGAGATCCAGGACAGCCAGGGCTACACAGAAAAACCTTGTCTGTGTCTGGCCTATAATCCAAGCATGGTGGAGACAGGATAAGGGGCATCCTGGGATACAGAGTTGAGGCCAGCCTGAGATACGTGAAACAACTGTACCAAACAATGTTTTGTGAGTAGAAGTTGAGCAGGCTTCTGTTTTGCCCTGGCAGCCCTGCCGGATGTCCACCAATTCAGCGGAAGTGGTGATTTTTGGCTTTTGACACTTGAAAGCATCAGGCTCGTCTTACTATGTAGCCCAGGCTAGCCTTTAACTTGCAGAGTGTCTTCTGTGGGGACAGCCCCAGTCCTGCCTTGGTAGGAACTGCATCCCAGAAGAGGGCTGTCTGGATATTGTGTTCAAGGGCAGTGGGAAGCCGTGGTGAGATTGTCCGCATGGCAAGATGCTGGGAGCTGGGCGGGTGGGGAAGGGATGGGGTGGGCCAGCGGGGGGATGCTGAGAGGGGCTCAGGAGGCAAAGCAGACTGGTGACAGACGAGACCAAATTCTCTTGTCTTTGTCCTCAGTAATGACTGAATGCTGGGGTCAGTGCTGATGCACGCCTTTAATCCCAGCTCTCTGCCAGTTCAAGGCCAGCCTGGTCTACAGATCAAGTTCCAGGACAGCCAAGGCTACACAAAGAAACCCTGTCTTAAAAAACAACAATATAATAATAATGATGGCTGTGAGTGGAGCCAGGACCAGCAGTGAGGTTTTCAAATGGATGATATTGCCCAGGACGGTCTAGTATCTGGCAGGCTGTCTTATCACCTAGCCTCTATCTCACATATCCTATGAGGTCTTGGGGACAGACAGCTCCGGACCTCAAGCTGAAGGCAGAACATGAATTTTTTTTTTTTTTTCGAGACAGGGTTTCTCTGTGTAGTTTTGGTGCCTGTCCTGGATCTCGCTCTGTAGACCAAGGTGACCTCGAACTCACAGAGATCTGCCTGGCTCTGCCTCCCGAGTGCTGGGATTAAAGGTGTGTGCCACCACTGCCTGGCTGAATTTCTTAATCTCTAATGACTTGATTTAATTTTTTGAAGATTTAATTGTTTTGTGTGTCTCTGTGTGAGTTTCTTTGTGCTGTGTGCAGGCAGGTGCCGGGGAGGCCAGAGGAGGTGTTGGAGACTCTGAATGGAGTTACAGGTACCTGTGAGATGTGATGTTAGTGCTGGACTGAACCCATGTCCTCAGCTGGACAAGCAAGTGTACTGGACAGCTGAGTCCCCCCCCCCCCCCCGACAGCGTTTCTCTGTGTAGCCCTGGCTGTCCTGGAACTCGCTCTGTAGACCAGGCTGGCCTCGAACTCACAGAGATCCACCTGGCTCTGCCTCCCAAGTGCTGGGATTAAGGGTGTGCGCCACCACAGCCTGGCCAGCTCTCTTTCTCTAAGACCTGGTCTTACTATTTATCTCTGAGTGTCCTTGGACTTTTGGCAATCCTCCAGCCTCAGCCTCCTGAGTGCTGGGATTACAGGGTGCTACTACTGTGCCCCCCTCTAGGGGCTCTCTACCCGCATCCTTTTATTTTGAGAGCGTCTCTGTGACTCCACAGCTTCTGTTCCAGATACCTGCTGCAGTGCCTAACTTTTGGGTTGTTTTGGATCCCATGTAGCCCAGCCTGATCTCAAACGCTGCACTGCCAAGGCTAGCTTTGAACTCCTCATTCTCCTGCCTCCACCTCCTAAATTCTGGAATTATAGGTATAGGACATTCGCTATGTAGACCAGGCTAGCCTCAAACTCACAGAAGTCCAACTGCATCTACCTCCTAACTGAGGGGCTTGGGGTGAGTCGCCATGTCTGGCAATAATTGACTTCTGTTACCTACCCCTTTCAGTCTCAAAATCTTGCCCTCCCACGTGCCCTCCGGCTCTTCCCTAGGACCAAAGATTCCCAACCTGAAGGACTTTCTAGTGAAGGTCCAACCCACACCCTCCACCTGGAAGCAGAAACTCGGGCAAAGACCTGTAGCCAAGGTGGGAGTGGATGAGCATGGAGAGCAAGAGTCCAAGGTCATTTGGCAGAGGGTTCGCCTGGCAAGCAGGAAGCCCTGGATTAGGTCCCCAGCAGGGCATGGTGGCACACGCCGTAATCCCAGCATTCAGGGAGCGAAAGCCAAATGATTAGAAGTTCAAGGTCAACAGGGTGGTGGTGCAAGCCTTTAATCCCAGCACTTGGATGGCAGAGGCAGGCAGATCTCTGAGTTCAAGACCAGCCTGGTCTACATTGTAAGTTCCAGGACAGCCATGACTATGTAAAGAGACCTTGTCTCAAAAAACAACCAAAAGTTCAAGGTTATTCTTGACTCTAGTGAGTTGGAAGTCAACCTGGGCTACATGAGACACTGTCTTTGAAGGAGCACCAACCACAGAAGGGGACTGTGGCAGATGAACTATTCCACTTTATGTATTATTTGTGTATACGATGTGGAAGGGAACACCTTTGTCAAGACAACTCAGTTTGGGGAGTTGGTTCTTTCCTTCCCCCTTGACACGGGTTCTGGGACCAAACTCCCATCATCGGGCCAAATCAGCGAATACTTTTCACCTGGCGAGTTCACCACTAACTGCCAGCGAAGAGGGCATGGTGAGTCTGCCTTGCCATCCCGGATTCAGGAGGCTGAGGGAGGAGGTTAATGCAAGTTTGAGTCCAGCCTGGGCTACATAGTAAGTGCATATAACACACACACACACACACACACACACACACACACACAGCGCCAAGTATAGTGGTGCACTCCTCTCACCTCAGAACTTGGAAAGTGGAGGCAGGAGGATTAGAAATTCAAAGCTATCCTCAGCTACGTAGGGAATTCGAGGCCAGCCTGGACTGCACGAGAGGCTGTATCAAAACCACAAAAAACCGTGCAGCTAGAGAGGGCGGAAGACAGGGCAGGAAACCAACGAGACGCCTAAGTGGGAAGCCACGGCCGGATACCTGAGTCCCCGCTCCCTCTCCCGCAGTAGCTGTCACACAGCTAAGGCCACCACGGACTTTTATTTGAGGCTGGGCATGGGGAAGCAGCGTGCGCTCCAGATGCGCTCGGGAGCGCCCGGGCGGAGCTCCAGCTGGTGGGCGGGGCTCCGGAGAGACGGGTTCTCATTGGCCAGAAGCCAGAGGACAAAGCCCACTGATTGGACTTCCGGGGGGCGGGGCTCCAGATGCCCACCGCTGGCCGGTGAGGCAGGCGCGGCGCCTACTTCTGGGCAGGGATCATGTCGTCGATGGCCTGGCCCTTTTCCAGCTTCTTCTCCATCTCCACCATAAGCTTCACGCCGTCCACCACCAGCTGCACCTGTTCCACCTCGGACGAGCCCAGCCGGTCGGCGTTGGAGATGTCGAACACCGCGCCCACGGCAGCCGTGTCCACGCCACCTGCGCCGGAGCAGAGGCCACGGAGGCATGAGCAGGAGCAGAGGTGCGGGGACGCCCCTGTGCCCCACTGCAAACGCCTCGGGGATTCGCTGTTCACAGGTCACCGGCTCTCAATTCTGGGAACCACAAGCCTGGATTTTATGGTGAGGTCCTCGCTTGACCATCCAACATGAAATTATAGTACAGGCCAGAGAAATGGCTGCGTAGGTAAAGATGCTTGCTGATGAGACTGACGACCGACCTGTGTTCAATTCCCAGGACCCACATGGTGGAAAGAGAGAGCTGAAGCCGTGCTCTGACCTCGCACAAGTGTTGTGAAATAGGACTCACCTCTCTCACACAGATAAATGAATTTAATTTTTAAAATACGCCGGGCGTGGCGGTTACGCGCCTTTAATCTCAGCACTGGGGAGGCAGAGGCAGGAGGATCTCTGTGAGCTCAAGACCAGCCTGGGCTACAGAGTGAGTTCTGGGACATAGACTCTATGACTTGGAGAGTTTGAGGCCAGCCTGGTCTACAAAGCAAGTTTCAAACCAACCACAGTGACTGTCTCCGTGTGTGGGGTGGCCCCCCGGGGGCGGGGGGGAGAGAACATGATGGTTAACAGTGAGTGGCTGCCTGTGGTCCAATTAGCCTCACTCCATTTACTGGTTGGGAATCAGAGGCCCCACGGAAGGGTCAGGGACCTATGTAAAATGCACATCAAATAGCTTTGACCCCGGAACTTGCAGGGGTGCCCCTCCCCAGATGCGGCCCATACCTGTGCCGCGCTTTTGCAGACGCAGGCGGGTGAGAATCTCTTCGAATTTGGCATGCTTGCTGAGGTTCGCCAGCTTCACGTGCACGCCTCCGCGCAGCCCGGTGCCCAGGTTGGAGGGGCAGGTGAGCACGTAGCCCAGGTGCTCGTTCCACATGAAGGGGTGACCAGCCTTCTTGAAGATTTCCTCAATCTGGGGGAGGGGGAGGCGAGAGGGCATCGGGGGTTGGTGCCCGGGGGGTTTCTGAGGGACAGGTGTTAGGATGTAGGTGGGGGTGGGGTTACCAAGGGGTGGGCGTGGAGAACCAACCCGGAGGAGTTCTGGAGAGAGGCGGAGGGCAAAGGTGGGGGCAGGCTTCAGACCCTGGGTGTGGGGATGGGGCTTACATTGGGCACGGGGTGGGTGGTGCGGGGCTTCGAAAATAGGTGAGGTGCGTTCTGGAAGGTGGGGTTCAGGCTAGGGCTGGGATTAAGAAAGTTGGCAGGATGGGTTAGGGGTGTCTGAGTGTGGGGAAGGGTTGGGGCCTTCTTGGGGAGATGGGTAGGGTGGAATCAGAAAGAGCAGAGCTTGGTCTCTGTGTGTGTGTGTGCGCGTGCGTGTGTGCGTGCGTGTGCGTGTGTGCACGCGCATCTGTGATGTGCGTGTGTATATGTGTCCGTGTGTATGTAGGTAAGAGGTGGAGATTGGAAAGTGGTGGGGAAAAGCCTGTTGATACCCGAGGAAGGAGTCTTGGGAACTGGGCATGGTGGCTTGGAAGGGCAGGGCTGGGTCTAGGACGGGGCGTGACTCTACAAAGTGGGTGTTGCGGTCAGGATGTAGTCCCAGGTCCCCGAGGAGGGGCCGACACCCACCTTCTGCAGGCCCACGCAGAAGCGGCGGAAGACCTCCTTCATGTTGCCCCCCTTCTCCATGGAGATGACGCGGAGGTGGTCCTCCTCGTTCACCCACACCAGGAAGCTTTTGTTGTCGTTGTGCCTAAGAAGGGGCAACCCGAGCCCCAGAAGTTAGCAGGAGTTCCACGGCCCCGGAAAGTAAATGCATTCCTTTGTCCAAACACAGTCCCTCCCTTTGGGCACTGGGGGACATGGATGAGGTGCACCTGGTTCCCAGTCACATGTCTGCAAAACTTCAGTCTCAGCTTGACTCCTCGCCTTCCGGGCACCCAACGGGTATCCTGGCACCCAGAAGGCTGAGGCGGGAAGAGCTGGTGTATGAGGCCAGCCTGGGCAACAGAGTGAGTACGAAGCCAGCAGAGGATACGGTGGCAATGCACCTCCTGTGACCACAAGGTCATATCGACAATGTTTATCTGCAGAGCCCAAGCTTCGCATGCCAGGATTCTGAGATTTCAACTGTCTTCAGGGTTGTTTTTTTTTTTTCTTTCCCCAAGCCAGGGTTTCTCTGTGTAGCTTTGCGCCTTTCCTGGAACTCGCTTTGGAGACCAGGCTGGCCTCGAACTCACAGAGATCCACCTGCCTCTGCCTCCC